TATAGAAACCAAGAGTCGGACTCAGTGGACGCTAGCAAAACAAATGTGGGAATGTGCGGACAATATGATCAATATGTGAAACGGGAGAGGTGCCACTTATAATAAATATGTAAAATTATATGAAGCTTATATGGCACAATTTGGATTATAGATTAGAAATACATTTTTTTCCACTTCTAATTTTAAGAATAATATTTTAGATTTTCTTAGAAAATCTTTTTTTTTTTCCTTTATATCTGCTTTCTTGTTTACACACACATATTTGATATCAGTATTATTTAAGAACATGCTGTGATGTTTTTCTGTAGCGATTCCAGACGGCTACACTTCTTGGACTGCCCTCATTCAATGCACCAGCCTATTGAATCTACCAAGAAACAAACCGGCCTGGAAACACTTGGTGAATTGGTTCACTAAGGCTACCAAGACTGACTCTTAAACCGCAGGACAGCCCAGGTAGTTGGCGATCTATGGATACGCTCCAGGAGACTGGGTTACCTTTATCTTATACTTTTCTCATTTAGTGTTTTTTTCTGGCAACAACTCTGTTACCGAAACGTCACACTATTAATTTATTTAGATTTAGTCAACAACAACAAAAGCCTTTATTTAGGGCATTCCGCCCCATACAGGATTCGCCGTATTTACACATCAACAAGAGGAGAGGGAAGAGGAAACATTTACAACAAAATAAAGTTTGTCTCACATTCAGTTACCTATTTACAGATAGGTCATCCTCCAGTATCCTTTGCCCTGCATTCTTTCTCATGCGCCCAGCTTCTGTGCAGAACTTAAAGTATCTAACAATCAGTAATTCATCATCCAGAGCTGAAGAGAGAAGTTGACATATGCGATGGTATCTAAATTGACCAAAATTAGGGCTTGGGAAAATTTCAGTACGTTTTTCTGTTAAGAGAGGGCATTGGAAGAAATAGTGAACCAAATTATCATCCTTGAGATCCTTACAAAGTAAACAGTTCCGGCGATTTTCTTTCCAGAAGTCTTTTCTTTCTTCCCTGAAAAATTGCTATAAAACTCTATGTTGTGCAACTAATCTTTTGTTGAGAAGCGAGATATTTAATCGTAGGTACTCCTCTGTCATGAATGATTCACTCAAAAATTTGTAGTGAGCAAAGTGGGTTGAATCAATGATTTTCATCTGATCGTTTTGAATTAGTTGGTCTGTGGTGGTTCTAATTATGTCTGGCAGTTCTTTCTGTATGGCTAAGTAGTCTTCGCAGCCCTTAAGAAAGGAATATCCCTTAGAGTCTAAAATTTTTATTAAATTTTGAGTAAAACTGTTTTCTATTTCCTTTTTCGCGGTGACTTTCCAGAGATAGTTTAAGCAAGCATGTGGTAATCTGCTCGTCTCCATTTTTAAGATCCTGACCCAAAACTTTAATGTGAGTTTTACAGCATTAAGTTCAGTTGATATTCTTCCACATTCTCTTCTGAGGATATATCCTGGTGTGAAGTTTGGTAAGTCTAAGAGACGACGAAGAAATGCATCTTGGGTATTATTGACTGTCTTCAGCTGGTTAATTGCCCACATTGGTGCCGCATATAGTAACGTAGGAAGAACAATAGTGTCAAGAAGTTTCATTACCGAGGTAAAGGACTTTATTCGCGCCTTTGTAAGGATTCTCCAAAGTGCATCAATTGCATTCAGTGTTTTGTTTCTAAAGTATTAGGAAGCATATTGGGTCGAAATTTTATTTAGATTTGGTCTTATTACCTTGTAATTATGTGAAGCTGATACTGCGACAAGGTGTGTTGTGGCTGATTAAAGCTGGGACAGATGGAGTAAGACAGCGTGGGGAGAAGGAAACTTCTGATGTAGCCTTGATAGGTAAAAGACCCCACTTTGTTCCTGTATTTGGTTCTTCTATTCAGTGTCAACCCACGGACAACTGTTCCACACAAGAGTGAATTGATACATATTTACTGAATCTTGTTCGCTTTATGTATTTTTATATTTCATATTTTAATCCGAGACCAGACCAAAAAAAAAGTAAATTAATATTTTGTAAAATTTCCCCATCATATGTAGTGTACCACCTCTACTATGGAGATTGGCTATCTTGGTATGTCACACTTAGGTAAGAACCACATACAGGATATATAAGTACCTTTTAGATAAGTTCCCTATTTTCTACTGACCTCTATGTCTTGCAATGATAAAAATAATGGGAGGTCCTTGCTCATCAGGGGTGAACCCTCCCAGCAGTTTCGCCAGTTTGATCTAGATTTGCACAACCTTCAATGCTCATATGAGCGATCAGGATATGCCTTTTTTGTTTTAATATATTTACATATTCATGGAAATGGAGTAAATCCTGTCTTTAATAGTTTTGACAATAAATTCTAAATCATTTGCACAAAAAGTTTATGTATATACGTAAAAATGCAATTCTTTGATCTGATACTCTTCAATGGATTTTTATTAAATTATAAGAGTATAAACTCGATTGTATTTATAGACTATCTGTTACAAAAGTAAATATACAGTCAGTTGTATTATATATATATACAGAGTCTAGCCATAAATTCTGTTACAAACAATTTTATAAATTAAATGATTAAGAACAAAACTAATGGAATATATAAATACATATTTTTTAGCCAATAGGACATAGATTTTAAATATATACAAGCATTCAAAATGTTCTCCCTTATTTTTGACACAGGATCTCAAACGTTCGGGCCACTGATCTATGGTGGCACGCACCTTTTCTAAGGGTATTTCTTTCAATGCTCTCACCAATGCTGATCTCAATTTATCCAAATTATGATATCTTTTATAGCACACCTTTTCCTCTAAATATTCCCACAAACTGTAATCAAGGGGGCTTAAATCAGGGCTTCCAGAGGGCCATTTATTGGCCTTTATGAACTTCGGAACATTCGTCTCCAACCATTGTTGAGTTGACTTAGCTTTGTGAGCAGGAGCTGAATCTTGTTGAAATATCCAATGTTCTCCATTAAACATTTTTGTATTCAGAGGCTTTACTATTTGTTACAAAATGTCTTATTTATAGTTTTTAGCTGTATTTTTTACTCCTTTGGCACAGAAGTGGAGATCTGTTACACCTTGGTAGCTAACTCCCCACCAAACCATGACAGAAGAAGGATGGTGACTTTTTCAAGTCTTCTGACTTTCAAAGAAGCTTCTAGAGAGCAATGAGCTTATATCCTATCATTCTGACGATTAATCTTTTCCTCGACAGTGAAAAATTTCTCGTCTGTGAAAAGGATTCTCTCATGCCACCGACCATCATGCTGCGCCAACAACATTTTTTATCTAACCCTTCTAATATCTCTAAGAGCAGGGGTTATCAAATGACCTGTGCGTGGTTTGAAAGCTCTCAGTCCAAGGTCTTCGTTGATTATCCTTGAAACGGTTCTTGGCGCTAAATTCATCTGCTTTGCTAAGATCTTTTATTTGCAGTGTGGATTTCGACGAATTCTTTCGCGAATGGCTTTTATAGCTGCTTGCGTTCGTTGCATGCGAGGTCGACCAGATCTTTCAGGGTCATCAATAGTGCAAGCCTTGTTGAACCTTTCAATGATTCGATAAACAAATTGACGCGTAATATTCAAATTTTGTAAAAGTTTAAAAAGGGTGAAAGATTTTGGCCTACCTTGTGTAAGGCTATTACAACTATAGGGTTTTCTTTAATACCCAAACCCATTATCAAAAACAAATATATTTCGATTTTTTTTCTGAGCACGTGTGCACGAGATATTCAAATAACAACAACTGTATTTTGAATACTTAACGCGGTCAAATTAATTTTTTATCACTGATTTGGTTTTGTAGCAATATTTATGGCTAGACTAAGTATATACTACCTTATAATTAAATATTGAACCATAAAGAGAAACAGATCAGGGACTTTCCTTTTCTACTTGTGAATAAGTTATTTCATGAAAACTTTGAACTATTTTTGACGCGTATGCTCTTATTTAAAAAATAAATCATTTTTTTTACTGTCCTTACTGCAATCATAAAATAATGGGAGGGCCTGGCTCATCAGTGGTGAACCCTTCCAGCGGTTTCGCCAGTTTAATCTGCCATACCGCTATAATATTGCATTTTAAAGTTTTCCTTTTATACTGATCTGTTGCTAGACTCTCGGAAAGGGTATTTTAAGCGAAATATGGACATAAGCGTTGAGTAAAAATACATACAATTATAAATATATAATTTTTCTAAATGATTTAGAATATGTCATTAAATAGCCACTATCTATCTCTCCAGTACAGGTTGGCTCATTGCAGTGTCAGGTTAGAGGCAAAGGGTATGACTACCTGACAAGGTGGTTGTGGTCAAAAAATGACACCATTCAATTATTGCTTGTTTCCTTTCGGTATGAAAATTATAAAACCAAGTCTCATAACCTATAGCTATTCTAAACACAAGGTAATAAGACCAAATAAATAGTGTGTGACGTTTCGGTATTTATTTATTTGGATTTGGTCTTATTACCTTGTGTTTATGATCTATAATCCAAATTGTGCCTTACCTATAGCTATTCTCTCTAAGCGAGGTTTTTTTATTTTATGTCTTTCTAATGTTTTTAGGAAGATTTTTTATCTATAGTCAGATAGTCTGAAACCACTTTGGAAAAAAAATTCTAGTAAACCCTGAAACTAAAATTAACAGCACCTATATGCAGATATTTTACAAACTTTAAAAATATTAAAATGTGGAATGGTAATTATCTCTGCCCCTCAAACGGACAAACCTCGTGCACCTCTATCTCTCTTTCTCTGGTCTTGAGTTGGGCAATGCCAGCCACCACATCGTCCTGCCGACTCTGTGGGAAAGAACTCTGGCGGTCCATCGATAGCGGAGTCTTTCTCGCAAAGGAAGACATAAATGAAGACTTTGTATTTATTTTATTTATACTCATGAACAAAACTTAAGGATGTTATACCTTTTACCATGTATATAAGGATTCAGACAATAACTCTGAAAAATAATATTCGATACACAATGGATTTATTGAAGACACACGAGATAACCAAGTGTGAACAAAAATTTGCCTCTGTCTCCTTCAAAAAAAAAAAAAAAAAAAAGATCAACATAAAACTTTTACTTAAGGTTTTGTCCATGAGTGTACATGTATATTTATATTTGTATTATATGCTCACAGTAGCGCGGTTTAAAGCCATCCTTGGTTCTCGCAACATTGTGTGCACCCGTATTCCATTCTATGCAGACCTCAATGCAACAAAGGTTATACTGTATATATACCCTGACATTGAATATCATAAAAGATTTATTTATTTACTGAGATATTATAGATATCTTTAGGCTATGAATTTTTGAATATACATATAGTTATTTATTTATTTATATTACACTGTTTTTCTTTTGATTATATTTACTTTATTTAAAATGTATAGATTAGATGGTTTATCGCCCAATAAGCTGTAAGACGTCCGTGGCTCACCTGAAGCACACGACCTGCTGTGTGCTTCATGACAAAAAACCTCTTAAAAGATGGACGATTGGTCCATCAAAATATTGGATTAATAAATAATCTTATTACAATCCAAAATAAGCCATATTTTTAAAATAAATATGTAGGTATTTATATATTCCTTTATTTCTCATCATGGATTTTTTTAAAGTAGCAGATAAAATCGGTTTCTCTCTCCCTGTAGAAAAACCTAATCCTGCATATCACCTAATGTTTGGAATTTTTATGAAGTTTCAATTAGAGTTGGGGTTGTATATACTAAATTACATAGTACAGTTTCTCATAATATCTCGTCTAAATATAATCTTGGTCTGTTCTGGAGGTGGTTCTCTCATCAAATCCTGGGATAGGTCAGGTCCAGTTATTTTTAAATTATTTTGATGGTATTTTCTAAAGGTGGTGGTCGCTAAACAAAGGAGGGGTTTACTTTAGGAAGTCTTTGTCCCGTAGTGTTTATACGACCAATATTTTTATATTATTTTTTAGATTACACTAAAATATTTTAAATTGGTTATCATATGTCATAATTAGGGCCTCCAATCCCGGGATCCCGTTTCCCGGGATCCCGGAGCCAAATAATGATCCCGAAATCCCGGGATTCTGCTCGAAAAATCCCGGGATTACTGGTTTGTGCATGAAAACCAGCGCAAAAAAATATATTTCTTATCTAGCATTTTGGTAATCAAACTGATGATGAGATAGCACACTTTTGAGGTTTTGTTTATACAGCTGCATTTCGGGTCTTTTTATTTTTTTTTCTGAGAGATTTGAAATTATTTTCATGCACTAATAACGAAGGGTTATTCTGCAAGATCTTTCCAAAATGGCAGCCTCTAGAATGAGAGTATGCAGCAGTATACATGGAGGGGGCCCCAGTTTTTGTTGACATGCAAATAGTGGCTTCTTAGATAGTAGCGGCATCCCTTTATTTTTGTGGCGGACCTGCTTGTAACATGAAAAATATTTTCAAAAGAAAATTTTAGAAGAGCGGTGCAATAAAACATCTTTAGTCCTCCAATATCTGCACAATCCGCAAGCACAGTTAGAAAAAAAGAAGATGGTCAAAGACTTTAGCGTGAAATTGCTTTTGCGTCTTAAACCGTTACAGGAACAAATCGCAGAAGTAAAAATTCAGGCTGATAATTCGCAACTTCCTCGGAGTTTACAAGAACGCCATGAGCCATCACAATCGATTGGCCATCTTACAATTGAGCGCCGATTGCAAGAAGCTATTGAGGCTGCCTCTTCAACTTCAATTGCAATACCTACACCAGACTCCACATCCTACTCAACATTGATTAACCACGAACTTAATATGGCTGCTCAGTCAGGCAAACGTGGACCCCATTTAGAGAGTGTGTATCAATACTTGCTGACAATTCCTCCAACGTCTGTGGAATCGGAAAGAGTCTTCTCCTCCTCTGGATACCTATGCAATAAGATACGTTCTAGTTTGCATGATGACACTCTTGACAAATTATCTTTACTACGCTCAAATCTTTCTCGAAATTGAATTTTTATCCTTAAAATAAAGTAATTCATGGTTTTTAAAACGGTGCTGTCTTCTTTCTAAACATTAATACATAGTTGGGCAAAATTTAAATAATGATTACATTTTCTATAATCACAATTGCAAATAATCATGATTACATTTGCTATAATTACAATTACAAGTAATTTTAATCACAATTGCTATCATTATATATAGAATTACGAGTAATAATGTTTACATTTTAATGCAATTAATTTTTTTTGCAAAGTAATGCATTGCAAAGTAATCGTAATTACAAGGTAATGTATTACTTTGAATGGATTACTGCCCAACACTGCTTTAAGAGATGTGGTCTAAGAGTACCACGAACAGTAATTTTTTTCCAGATGTGTGTACAGTAATTGACAGATAATTTCAAACTGTAACCCAAAAGCAATGATTTAGTTCATAAGCAGGCGCAAAATAAATGGCTTTCAGGTTGTTTTCATCGAAGTAAGTGCCACGTCATTGGCACTATATAAAAGAAAAAATTAAAAATATAACGAACGAAACGATATACCTCTTGGCTTAGAAAGACGAAAATGTTTTTCAATCCCGGGATTGAGAAAAAAGCAACCCCGAATCCCGGGATTGAAAATATGTCCCGGGATTGGAGGCCCTAGCCATAATGAAGGAGCAATAAAATACTTTTAAAGTCTCGTTAATTTAAACAAAACAAGAGATTCATGGTGAACTCGGTTCAGACGCCAAATATGCAGCTTTGTAGAAATCCTATGGTAAAATTAAAATATAATTTGAGAGAGTTTCTAAATGGCTTGCTACCTATGTCGGAAAAATTGTCTTTCTTTGGTGTTGAAATTCAATTTCTATTTGATTGGAACCAACTACTATTTGATAGTATTCCAAATACACAGACGTGAGATTATATATTATCAGAATACCAAATATAAAACGTTGCAGAATCATTATCGATTTTGTATCTTCAAACTTAACCATATTCATTAAGCATTCGGAAATACTCGAAGTGTAGTATGCATATAATTTCGTGACACTCTTATAATAATTTTCAAATTCTTCCATAACGTGGAGATAAGCAAAGAGCATTTTTATATATAATATTTCACTTTGTAATCAAATATTTTCTTCTAGAGATTTTTTATATCAAAGAATTTTCTACGAGGCTTTAGGAATCTTTATAGTTTATTAAGATTAGTATATATTCATACATATTAGATAATAAAAGGCATATATTGGATTTAAAAATATATTTATTTTGCCAATATTTCGGCTGGCTGAACGCCAACCTTTATCGAGGCATTACATTTTTGTATACTTAGATATCTGTCTAAAAATGACCGAAATTATGATTTCATTCAAAAGGAAAAATCTAAATCAAGTTGCTAAGCTATATATAGATCACATTATTAAGAAACCTAAACCAAAATGCGTGGATGTTTCAAGTTCTGCAAGCTTTTCCGTCGGAACAAAAGGTATTCAATCAAACTGATATCAGATCATTTGTCTCATGCTAAATGTTGAAAATAGAAGATCAATTTGACTACCAAATAGTTATACAATGGTCGAATTTAATAGGGAAGTTATATTGTGATATGCTACACTAATATAATAATTTAATTTTCAATATAATTGACTAAAGTTTAGGAAATGTTTTATAGAGAATTAAAATATTTTTTATTCATAATGTTTTTTTTTTTTAAATCTTATTCATACAAAATAGCTTGGTCTTCTAATGTTTTCTTGTTATCCAGGTAGTGTGTCCTGTGCTCCAAGAATCCAGATAGTATATATTTATATAGCTTTGTAAATAATCAATTACTAGTTGTTAGCTATATATATCTTGATGTGGTTAATAAATAATTTATTCTCTAAAACTGTGCAAACTTTTTTTAAACTAAATTTATTTTTAAAGATTATAATTTTTGCAAGTTTATTCAGTTTAATCAGAAGGAAAATGTACTGTTAAATTAAAATATTATTTATAATTTTTATATGTTGAAAATGTGTGTTATTGCAACTTTATCTTTCAGTAAAATATTTTATTGAAAATTCTAAAAAAAATGATAAAATTTTCACAATAGTATCGTTTTATAATATTTATTTTTTTAAATTATCGTCCCTACAACTGCAAATTATCGAATCTGAAAATCGGTACTTTACTTGGATAACTGTGGTAATCTCCCTCTCTCTGGTTTTACAAGATAACAACGTGAGACCAATATATAAAAATTGTACATATTATGTACAATTTTTATATATTGGTCTCACGTTGTTATATTGTAAAACCAGAGAGAGGGAGATTACCACAGTTATCCAAGTAAAGTACCGATTTTCAGATTCGATAATTTGCAGTTGTAGGGACGATATGTCAAACGATAATTTCCTTAAAATATTATTTTAATGAATGAATATTTGGGTATTATTTTTGAAGACTGTTTTTCCAAAAAACCCTACATTAATATAATTAAAAATTCTGATTCTTTTCTTGGGTTGTTGAATTAAAGAAATATATATGCACAAATATCTAAATTGCCCTTCTTTTAAAATAAGAAATGAATTTTTTTTTTTTTTTTAAAAGGTTTTTAATTAAATAAAATGTATATATATTTAGAACCTATATGCATATATTAGATAATATTCAAAATATTTTTAATAAATATGTGAAACGAAAAATTTCAAGAAAAAAGAATATATTTAATATCTTTTCAAGGAAAATGTTTAAAATATCAGTTAAATTTTGCCCATAAAATTAAAGTCACTCTCCACCTTAGTTAATTTTTTTAAAATATGTACTTTTAAATAGTAAAAATATGTGTCATTTTAGAGAGAGAAAAATATTTGCCCATAAAATTTTAAAATATAAATAAATTAAGGAATTATAAATATTTTATAAGACTTTTTGAAAATAATCAATAAAAATGATCTTATAAAAAATAATTCTATTTTTAAATATTACCTACATTTCAAGGGCAGAAATGCATATCTAGGTAAATATTATATTAATATATTTTTAAAGCTTGTATTTTTTCTTTTTAGACAATCATCTAAATGGCATTGATTTCAGGCTGTTTGATTTAAAGGGCGAGAAATAAAATTGCATTTATAATTCTCGAAAAATGACATCTGCGCGCCTGCGCTTTAATTTTGAAAAGAAGGTATTTTTAGAATAATATATTGGTATAAATATTTTAGTAAGTGAACGAGTTTTTTCAAGATTTTAAAATTAGTTTACTTTAATTATTAATGTTTCAATTTTAATAGGGTTTCCTTTTCTTTATATTTCCAAAATTGGACATTTATATAATTTTTTTTTTCAATGTTTTATATTCCAAATGTCGTATTATCTCCTGAGCCCATTTAAAAAAATAATATGTACCGTATTTATTCTTAAGAGTTATTGAGTTTCTTTTTATAAAGGATTATAAAGAATTTATTAAGTTATATTTTATATTAGATTTATATGTACCAAAAATATATTTGTGCCAAAATTCCTCGCCCTTTAAATATGAAATGGGAAATGTGTCACTTTTGGAACAATGAATGGAATCCTTTCCCACAACTCTTTTAATATATATGTGATTTCTATATTTATCTATCTATAAAATACGATATCGGTGATGCACAGAATCAACTATGGAACGGTTGGGAGTTAAGGCTTGACTTTGAAGCGATTATTTATGACCTCAAAGGAGGAAGAAATCCTAAATGTAAAGTTTTTCTATTTCGCGAATCTCCTTGGAGTTAGAAGCCCAAAACTGTCATAAACAATCATTTATAGAGATACATCAGAGTTGCAATGTACTTCATGCAGCTTCCCTAATTCAGCCGTTTTCAAAGCCACCCTATTTATAACAGGAGTATTTTGTAATTCTGCCAACTGGACACAGAGCGTCGTCGTAATGTTCATGGAGTCAATGTTTAACGGTTACGATTTAATATACCTGGGAGTTACAAATTATCAAAGTTCTATATGAATATTAATTTGTTATCAATATTAGTGATTCATTTATTTTTAAACATAAATATTTTATGTTATTTGTTGTGTAAACATTTGTATACATATTACATAGCCTTTTACTTCAAATAAAGCCATAATTTTGGACATTTAATTGGATATTTTCTAATTTGTAGATTGTATGGGAGATATATTTTCTTCACAAATGATATGCTAAATATTAAATTGCAATTAAATTACTGAAATACACTCATGGACAAAACTTAACGAATTGGAAAATATTTGATGTCGCCGGTCGTCTGTTTTTTGTTTTGTTGTTTTTTTTTTAAGGTAACAGAGGTAATTTTGTTCACACTTAGTTATCTCGTATGTCTTCAATAAAGGTCACTGTAATATCTTCCAGAGTTATTGTCTGAATCCCGATATACATGGTAAAAGGTACAACTTCCTTAAGTTTTGTTCATGAGTGTATATATAGATAGAGGACATTGAACAACCAAGCTATGGAACATGTATGATGATTTTGAAATGAAGGTATATTTTTATGTATTTTTATATTTATACATATAATTATAATTAATTAATTAAAAATAAATTAATGAATAATTCCAATGCCCCAATATAATATGGTGACTTTTTTTATTGGCATTTAAGTTGTCGTTCCCAGCTGATTTCTACTTTAATTTCGCAACCCTTAGCTTGACGAGTTTTTGAAGAGTTTAGAGCAGAACAGTGTGTTAAGTCAATGAAACCTACTATTCTAACAACTAAATGATGCTGATGACCCACTGCCATCTATCGGAACATTTTTTTTTGCTTATCCCTAGTACATGTGGTACAGGCCATGGTAATCATGGTGGATAGTTAGCGACTGCTTTTACTGTAAGTGCACCACATGTCTACACATGTGAAAAGCAGTTCGACTTTGCACTTACAAATGTGCCAGAGCCCCGTTTGGTTACTTGCACTCACTGGTGGGGTTGGACTTTTGCAAGAATCGGGGGCCATTGGAGCAATTTTTTTTTTAAACAGAAAAAAGTGTCCAATGCGGGAATCGAACCCGGGTCCTAGTGGTCGAAAACCAAACGGTTTAACGAGCCTTCCACTGGAACATTTAATAACATTGACTAAAATTATATATTTCCTAATTTAAATAACTATAAATACGCATTTAATAATTTGTATTTTTTATTATTATTTATATTTACAGTTTTGACAGGCTAATGTTCCTGTAAAATAAACAGTGTATGTAAATATGTGCTCGCGAATTTCTCCGTCGCATGTGGTGCTCTAGTATGATATAAAATACGGGAGGAAGGTAATCATGGAAGTGTGAACCACACTCATATTTAAAAATGCATTGATCTTTATTTCAACACACAAAACGCGATATCCCGGCTAGGGATAATTGCATCGATTTACATTTAAAAAAAAAAACAGAAACAGTTATAAACACATTATACAAGAAAAGGAATTTAAGGGAGGGTTCACCACTGATGAGCCAGGCCCTCCCTTTAATTTTTCCATCGCAGTAAGGACAGTAGAAATTGTTTTATTTTAAAAAGAATATCACGCCTCTAAAATAGTTTTATAATTTGATAACAGATGGCGCTCTAGTACATCGTAATAATATATATTAGGAACCTGAACCTTTCAGGTTTGAAAGATAATCATAAGTATATCTACAAAGATAGTTAAACCTATGATAATTCTCTCTGCTATTTACAAATTGATATAGATCTACAACATTATTTATTGTCTGTTGTCTAGCGCTAGAAAAGAGTGGGCATTCCAGCAGTAGGTGTCTCGAGTCCTGGATTTCGTTGCCACAATGACAGCTAGTCTTCAACCGCTCCAATTTTTGATAAAAATCCCTTAAAATTTCCATGGTTCGTTGTAAACTGGGCATTATAAAAATTTGAACGGAAAAATGTTGGAATTCCAAACGGGAAAAGGCTTTGGAATGTTTCATTTGCTTTTAGAAATAATTCATCCATTTTTGCACTTAAAAATGAACCAATTATACTCGGAGAATGTGGTCTAAAAGCATTTTGATCCTCTATCGAAAGATGAGCCAAATCATTTTTAATTATTTTAGATTCAATATAATCTGTGAGAAGGGGGATGTTCGCAAGACTATGGACACAGTTGGAAGATGTAGTTTTGTAGGCTCTGCTCACCCACAGAAGAATTTGATATTGAGTAGAATTTAGTTTTTCTTTGCATCGCTTATTTATAAATTTATACCATATTTCTGAACCATACGTAAGAGCTGGACTGATAAGTGTTTTATACAAAATTATTATTATTTTTTTTTTTAGTATTTATTCCCCACATCTTTCCACAAAGTGAAAACAGAAAATTTTCATTCTTACGATCCTACACAGAATGTCGTTGATATGTGGGGTAAAATTTATCTTTTTTTTTAATTCTATGATTTGAGAATTTTATGCCTAATATCTTAACTTGATCTACTGGGTTTAAAATAATATTCGATATTTCAATTGGAACTTTAGGTTTATTATGTAAGTAAGGTAAATTCGTTTTCTCTGGGCTTATTGATAATTTATTCCTATTACACCATTGAATCACGTAGCATAGAATATATTCACTTAATATTTTGAGATCCTCGACAGACTTGCTCCAGCAAATGATGGAAACGTCGTCTGCGTAGCAAATTATTTCTGCGTTCGGATGTTTGAAACTCTTCAGCAAGTCGTTTAACAAAATATTCCATAATATTGGGGATAAAGGACTGCCTTGAGGGCATCCTTTTGTCAGATTTTTTGTAACATTTGTATCTTCATATGAGAAATTTGCCCTTCTTTCCCTGTTTAAAAAGATTGTATAATTCTTATTAATTTGGAGGGAATGTTATCCAAATCGAGTCTTCTAATAATTGCTGGCCACCATGCGTTGTCGAATGCGCCTGCTATATCCACTGTAATCAAAGAAGTCAGTTCTCCTTGCCTGTGTTTCAGTATGGTTTCCATTATATCTTCTATTGCACTGCTCGTTGATTTATGTTTAATAAATCCGTGTTGCCTTGGACTCATTAGATTGTTCTCTTCATAATATTTATTAATTTTGTTTTTAATTATGTTTTCAAAAATTTTAGAAATTTTTGACGTCAATGATATTGGTCTATAGCTTTTGCTTGTTTCATAGTTTATTTTATCAGGTTTTGGAATGATCTTTACAGTAGTGTCTTTCCATACATCCGGATAATAACCTATTTCAATACATTTGTTGAATACTTGTTTTAAAATCGGGATTAAAAGTGTACCTGCATGTTTGATCATATTATTACTGATTAAATCTGGACCTGGTGCTTTCTTAATATTTAATTTTGAAATAATATTTTCAACATCTTTTATTTCTATAAAAATGTTATTTTGGTTTTTATATTCAGGTTTATAGTTTCTAATAATAACATGTTCCTCTTTATCTGAATGTACATCATCATCTGGAAATAAATAATTCAAGAGACTTTTCATTTTTTCTTTCTTTAAAGTATCCGGTATATTATCGATCATAGGAAGCCCTATATTGTTGTTGGATGGTCTCAGAGATTCAAAAATTTTATAGGCGTTTCCAAATGGGTTGTTTGATTCATTTTCTTCAATGAATATTCTCCAACTTTTTTCTTAGCTCTTTCGATAGCGTTAATGTACTTGTTTCTTGCAAATTTAAAAGTTATTTTATTGACTCTATGCCGATAGTATAAGTTTCTAATATAATGAAAATCATTTTTCATTTTTTCAAGATTCCCATTCCACCACTTAATATTAGATATATGCTTGAAAGAGTTTGATTTGATTTCCAGAGACGAATAAGCTGCCTCACTAATTATGTCCGTAAGTTTGATCACAATCCTGTCAACATCCGTAGTATTAGATGCCTGATTTATTTCATTCGACAAGTTATGTACATTTTGAAATGATATCTCTTCAGTAAATTTTTCCCAGTTGGCATCTTTTTCAATGAATTTCCATGTTGACCTTTGTCCAATTCTCTGCACTTTAAAATTATATCGAATGTCGAAGGTTATTGCTACATGATCGGAAATACTTGTAAAAGTTGATGTGCTACAATTCTGTATCAGCTTTATAGAATTTTTGTTTGATATTGTTAAATCTATTATACTGGCATTTCGACATGTAGGCGTTTTAAGGTTATGGATAAACAAGTTGTATTCATCCACAATAGAGTGGAATTTATAGCCATTAGAGTTAATTATTCTGTCGTACCATACAGGATGTCGAGAGTTAAAATCACCACAGAGGATTATTGGCTGTAGCCCGAATGTCTCTAAAAGTTCTTTAATAAATATTTGGTGAGTATTACTGAGATTTTTAGGGTGAATGTAGAAGTTTGAAGTAACAATATTTGAATTCTATGAATGTATAGCAATAGTTGTACAAAAAGAATTAGTGAATCTATCAATTGTCGTATATTTAAAGCTTCTGTTAAGAATAATCGTTGCTGTGTAGACTGTTTTATCAGTTTTAGAGTAAACAATTTGTGAGTCATTATTGAATATCACATCATTCCCTAACATATAAGGCTCTTGAATAAATAATAGGTCAGGAGGGTTGGACAGAACAGAGGCTCGAAGTTCATCTAATGCTATAGCACTTTTCCTTATATTTTGTTGAATACATTTTATTCCTTGTTTAGTTGCCTTCATTGGTTTCTTTCTCCCTCCTTCATCCCGTTTCCTCCTTTTTCAGTTGTGATGGAGTATCTATTCATTTAGATTCGATATTTAGAATTATTGTTGCCGAATTTATCCTGTTTCCTTTAGCTGTTAAAATTGAATGCTCGTCTCCGCTAAAAATAATAACATTGTTTACCGTATAAGGCTCCTGAATAAATAATATGTCTGGTGGGTCGTTAGCCATTCGAGCCAGGAGTTCATTTGTTGCGTTTATGCTTTTACTTAGATTATGTTGCACAAACTTAATCGACGGAACTTGCATTTCCTGTTTGACTTGTGCAAGTTAGTTACTTGATTGTTCAGTTGGGAAATAACTTGTTCTTTCGATTATTCTGTCTATTTGTGTTTTATACATAGGGCATTCCTATGAATTTGCTCTGTGTGATGAGGGCCTGTTTCTATACTTAGGATGTTGGGAACAATTGAAACATTTGGGATTAAATTTCAGACATTTCTGACATTGTTTCACCAGAAACTGGTCTACAACAACGCACCGTTCACAGTCAGTGTATATTTTATTGTTTAATTTCTTAATGGTTTGATAAAATTTAGGAGAGACACGTAAAACTAAATTGTGGGTAGAGGTGTTAGATTTAGTGCAGAATAGCACTTTAATTTCACTTTTCATATCCCTTAGTTCGTTGTTCATCTGACAGATTGTTTCTTCGAAGGAATTCACCTCGGTGATTTTACTAACGTTTTTAACCATTATCGTAGGATCTCTTTTGGTCGGAATGAATGTTTTGCATAGATTTGTTAGTTTGGTTGATTTGCATAATTCCTCTTTTAGGAAATTAGATTCTTTCTCGTCCGAAGTTTTTATAATAATTGATTTTCTAGTATTTATAATTTTATTGACTCGGACCCTCTTATTTTCCCCTCTTAACACTCTGTTCCTATCAGCAATAGAGTGGTGTACTTCTCTAATATTTCCCTCGTTAAAAGGCTGCGCTATAATTACAAATTCTTTATCACTACTTTGTTTGTTATACATAGTTTCTCTCGCTGTTTGGGATTTCAAAACCACTGAAAAGGAGGGCCTCAAGGTCTTGAGTTCTCCCTTGAATTTGTCTAGTTTTTGATCAAGAACATTAGACACTTGAACAGAAAGTTGTTCCACAAAGTCCCGATTATTGATATCTCCCAAGGCCGTAATGCCTTCCTTTGTCTGCTTTACCATTGTAGGCAGAAATGAAACATCATTTTTGTTAGGTTTTTCTGGTTTTGTTTGACTTTATTGTCAAAATATTCATAGATTTCATCTAATTTAGCAGTTAGTGTTCCTATGAGTAAATCCATTTTGAAATTTTCACTTATTTCATTATACTTTAGTCAAACCTTATCCTATAAATTTTCAGGAAAAACTAAAAATAACTTTAACATTATATAAAGGAAAACAAAATACTTTGTAATAAAATGCATTAAAACAGAGAATTTTTCAATCTTCTATTTACAAAAAAGCGCAGACTCGGCGTAGCCAAGCCGTGGCCGTCATCAGTACAGGTGGCCTTCGTTAGGCTGACATCCTACGAGAGAAGTTATGGAATCGGCCCAATCTGAAAAAATGTCTGGTGAAGTAGTGCCAGAATACGGGATAAAATGGCGGATGGATGGTATGTACATATTGAAAGTGGGTACCTCTCCCTTTAAAACCATAGATTCTGGGTTTTTTTCGTCAATTTGTCAAAGCTGGTGCTATGGCATATTCACTGACCAGAGTCTGCGCCGTTGAATCCCATAAAATGGACAAACTGCCACGTCGAAACATTGCGATCCTGGATTTTATGATTTAATGTATTCTAGATGTTCTGACTGCGTTCTATTCTCAACATATATAGTGGTTCAAAGATCTTTCTTTTAACTTGTACTTAATAATACTGTTTGCAATTGTACTCATCTTTTTTCAACGTGAAATATACAGTTGTCTATAGAGAAATAATATTATCATTTTCATCTAAATGTTTTTCATTAAAAAATAAATGAGGACGTGGAATTATGTATGGATTCGTAAGTACGTTTAATCACCACCAGCGATAGACACGACATATCCAGCAATATACCCCAATATGGAGGTAGATGTGGAACCTGTGTATTCAGGGGAGAGTGAAAGGATCGCGCCAAACACCGTATAAACTGGCAGATTCAGAGAGAAGCTCCTAGGATTCTGTTAGTCCCTGAGTGTGTCATTCGAAGCCACGTCAATAGGTTGTGTACATCCATCCACATTAGGTTGTATCCATCCATCCACAATAAGTTTTGTCTATCTAGATCATCCACAATAAGTTGTAGAAAGTCAACAACCTTGAACCAGGAACCATGGAGCGATATTGTCGTAATTGGACCAGTGTATGACCCCTGGTGACTGTGGAAAGGTGGCGTTCACTCTACCTGACGTCTTGAGGGGCCAGTGGTTCACACCATCAATACAATGCCGCACTTCTCACTGGAAATCTCACCAGCCTGAAAGGAAATAAATTCATTTCCTGGCTATCAGCCTTGCTGAAACTTTCTTGCATTTAAATCCTGGGGGAAATTGTCAGACTTTATTTTCAACGAGACCCTGATAGATATACCTACGTTCTACAATTTTCAAATAGTGTTTGTACTTACTTCTGTTTTTTAAAGTGATGAGGACATCCATAACGTTTATTGGGGATGATATGTTCATCAAACACCTTCACAGTCCACGGCGCTGAGGTTCACCAGATGATTCTCCATTTGATTGCCCTGTAAAGATGTCCGTCTCCAACTCCTCCAATGGCCTATGCAGAAAACAGATGTTTTAGACTCGTTCATAACAGTCTATCAAGGAATGGTATTTTCTGTTTATATGTCTACATATGGGGATACTGGACATTCAGTTGATCTTGCCTCATAATATTTGTATAAATGGCAGCTCATTTTTTTCATAAATTCCCATTCTTCCAACTCTTGCAACAGGTTTGTCATACACTTGATATGACAGCATCATTCATAACAGCAATAGGCTTTTCCAATCTGAAGTTGCTTCAACGAGCTTCAACGAGTATCCGCCACTACTATCCGCCGTATTTGCTAGTTTGCACAGACGCTCGACAGATAAGCATAGTTTTCTGCGTCTATTTTGACGGAAGAGGTGACCCTCCTTTGTATATATGGGAAATAAATTTTCTAGGTTCCCCTTCATCCAAATTTCAATTTTTATACCAATGTTCCTGTTAGGTATCTCATCACTTTCTTCATTGCAGTTCAGTGTATCTGTCAGGACTACTGTGGTAGTTTGCAGACGAGTGTTAACAGCTATAAACATAATCACTTCAAGGATTTCTTGATAGGGTGTTGAAAAGAGTGTTG